CTGAAATCGATCAGCTTCTAGAAAAGCCAAAATACCTTTTTGAAAGCTCTGCGTTTGGTTTAGTTTCACTTTCTGGCAATTTACTATGCAATATGAATATGGGCTTGAAGCTTGTTCTGTCTATTCATGCTTCTATGTGTTTATTTTCAAGAAATTATTTATTAGTATGGATTAATTGTTGTTTTTTAAAGTTTATGGGGACAATTTTTTTATATTTTAAATGTTATTGAGGATTGATTTTCGGAAAATGAATAATTTTATTTAGCTTCTAGGATCGAAAAGGGTCCCATTACTGGTCTTTGTTGTGTATTTATATAATCTTTTATTTTTTGGGTTGCCTAACAATCAGAGTGGCATTGAGGATGGGGAGGAGCCTAAGTCTGCAGCCCTTAGGGAATTGCAAGAAGAAACTGGTGTAGTATCAGCTGAGATTATTGCTGAGGTTTGTAGAAAAATTTCTGCCCTTTTTCTATTGTTGTCTCATAGTTTTTCAAGAATTGCAACTACCACTTTGGTAGGGGCACTGGCATTTTGCTGCTATTTACTTTAGTGTTTGTGATTCCTTCAAATTTATCAAACTCCCCTAAGTTATGTGATACAAGCATTTGATGGATCATTTGGTTGATTTAGTGCTCCTGAAGATACTCAACTATTCCTAAAATGATTATATCATCAAATTCAATCTTTGGGAGATTACTGAAAATAAAACAAAGAAAATAAGAGGTCAGGAAAAGAAAGACTACCACTTCACATTTTTACTCTTCATGTCCTGTGTTTCAAATGTATGAAACAAAGAGCTGTGCCGCATAGAATAACCTTGATGAAAGTCCAGGGAATGAAACAATCCATTTCATAATATAAGATATGCAAGCATAAGCAGGTTTAGTATAAATGACCTTTATTCTCCCTGATCCCAGCGAGCGCCTTCTTTCTTTCCCCAAATGCTGTCATACGTCTAATTAACCCTGTTGTTTGGCAGGTTCCTAACTGGTTGACATATGATTTTCCTCCAGCTATTAAGGCCAAAGTGAATCGCCTTTGGGGAGGTGAGTGGCATGGGCAGGCACAGAAGTGGTTTATTTCTTCTTGCGTTTTTTTCTTTTTCTGTAGAGAATAGTACATTTGTGGCCTAGATTTGGTTTTGTTTATATTTGCATTCACCCCACTAAGAGAGTAGCTTGTATAAATCATTTGACAGCTATAACTAGAGACATAAAGGGCGAAGAATCATTAGCAGCTATGGAGATTATGACTAGAAATTGAAAGCAGGCAGGCTTCATGTGTGTGTTCGTAGTTAGGGGTATAAAAGGCTTTTTCATTAAACTCGAGAATAGTTCTTTAGTTTTGATACAAATCCCTTGATGGATTACTAATGAGCTTCAAAATACCATATCAATCTGCATTTTAATACAAGCTTTTTAGGTCTTTCATTATCTTTTTGATACATGCATGCCTTCCTCGGCATGTTTATTCCTGTAAAGTGATGGTTTATAGCTGATGCTAGTATCTTTTAGGAAGCAGAAACCAAACTTTTTCCGCTAAGAACCAAAATTATATCCTTGCTCTAATCCTAAAGGTCAAACTCTCCAAATTGATGGATGAGTTATTAAAAAAGCACTTAAGAAGCATGAAAGACTTGATTCTAATGAATATCATATAATTTTTAACTTTTGAACAACTTATGTTCTATAATTTTCAAGGTCCATCTTTGAAATATTGATGAAGCTTAATCTTGGCTTTTTGAAACAATTAATAAATGGTTACTCTTTTTTGTTGTCTAATTTCACTAAAATACTGATGAAGATGTATAAATTTATTCTGTTTTTATCTAGTTTATGGCCTAACAAGACATTGGAACAAGTTTACAGGTTTCTTATGCAATTAACAAATGATGAAAGTGAGATCAATTTGGCAACTGGGGAAGTAGATCAAGAATTTGCTAAGTGGAAATGGGCAAACCCTGAAGAAGTTATATAACAGGTAATTTGCCAAGCCTTTACTATAATTAATTTTCTTGATTTGCATTATATGAAAAACTTTAAGATATTATATAAGAAAAATTGTGACAGGCAGTGGACTGCAAGAAGCCAACATATGAGGTAGTCATGAGGACATTCAGGCCCTACTTGGATGATGGTAAAGCTGCACAATGTAAATCGACAAAATGGTAAATGTCTTGGCCTGCTCTTGTAGGTCTGTCCATGTCTTTACAAGTAGAAATTGAATTTGAACTTAGTAGATTTTGCCCTCTGTAAATGGATGTGGCAGTTGGACATTAGAACTACCAATTTAGACTATTGCTCATTTGTGATTAAAAAAAAAAAAAAA